CTTGGAAGGCCCAAGTAAATTTTGGATACAAAAAAAATAATGGCAAGATTTTGTATGTAAACATTTTCTTGTAAAAAAAAAAAAAAAGTGGAAGAAGATTATTGTTGAACACATTGTTGTTTTTCATATGTTAATCCATGCATTTATGAAATATTATTTTTTTAATTTTTTGTATGGAGTGAGTTGGCTAATGATCTAATGCCTTGGAGTATTCAAATTTTTTAAAATAAAATTTTATGAGGATTTTTGTTTTGAGTTAGGAAATATTTGTCAACTATTTTTAAGACATATTTTCTCATTTACTGACCAATTTTTAGAAATCGACAAACTTTCTTGATTTTCGTGTGTATCAACCCATGTTTTTGGCACCTTAGAGCATTCAAATTTTTTCTGAAAAGTTTTATAAGATTTTCGTAATGAGTTTGGGAAGCATTGCATATAATCTCACCATTTTGAGGTATATTTTTGCATTTACGAGCCATTTTTTGAAATTAGTAGACTTTCATGTTATTCATGTGTATTAGCTCATGGATCTGGCGCTATAGAACATCGGAAAATGTTTTTTTGGATTTTTTTATGACGACCTCCGTAATGAGTTGGAGCACCATTGCATATAGTCCTATCATTTTTAAAAACATATTTTCGCATTTACGAATCAACTTTTAGGATTAGCCGACTTTCTTGATTTTTCATGTGTATTAGCAATAGGTCTGGCGCCTTCAAAACCCAAATTTTTTTTTAAAAAAAATACTTTATGAGGACCTCCGTAAGGGGAAGCATTGCGTATAGTTTCAATATTTCTTTAAGGCATATTTTCGAATTTATAAGCCAACTTTCAATAATTAGCCGATTTTTTTTCATGTGTATTAGCCCATGGATCTGTAGCCTTGGAGCACCCAAAAACTTTATGAGGACATCCGTAATGAGTTGGAGCACCATTGCATATAGTCCCACCATTTTTAAAAACATATTTTTGCATTTACGAGCCAACTTTTAGGAATTAGCCGATTTTCTCGATTTTTCATGCGTATTAACAATAGCTCCGACGCCTTGGAAAACCTTTTTTTATTTCAAAAAAATATTTTATGAGAACTTCCATAATGATTTGGGGAAGCATTGTGTATAGTCGCAAGTTTTTTAGGCATATTTTCGCATTTATGAGCCAACTTTTAAGAATTAGCCGACTTTTCAAATTCCTCGTGTGTATTAGGCTATGAATTTGTCGCCTTAGAACACCCAAAACTTTTTTTTGAAAAAATTATATGAGGACATCTGTAATGAGTTGGGGAAGAATTGCGGGCAGTCCCATCATTTTAAAGCATATTTACGCATTATGGGCCAACTTATTGGAATTAGCCGACTTTCTTAATTTTTCGTGTGGATTAACCCATGGATCAGACACCTTGAAATACCAAAACTTTTTCTCTGAAAAACTGTATGAGGATCTCAGTAATGAATTGGAGAAATGTTGTGTATAGTCTCACCATTTTCTAAGACATATGTTTGAACTTACGAGCCATCTTTTAGAAATTAATCGACTTTATTGGGTTTTCGTGTGTATTAGCTCATGGATCTAGCTCCTTGGAACATTCAAATTTTTTTCCTCAAACATTTTATGAGGACCTTTGTAATGAGTTAGGGAAACATTGCGTATAGTCTCAATATTTTTAACGAATTCTTTTGAATGTATGAACCAAGTTTAGGCATTAATTGTTTCTTGATTTTTTCGTGTGTATAAGCTTATATATCTGGCGCCTTGGAACATCCAAAAATATTCCCTGAACAAACTTTATAAGGACTTCTGTAATGAGTTGTGGAAGCATAGCGTTATAACTCCACCATTTTTAAGGCATATTTTTGAATTTATATATGAGCCATCTTTTAGGCATTAGCTGACTTTCTTGATTTTTTCATGTGTATAAGCTCATGGATCTAGCGCCTCAGAACACCGATTTTTTTTAAAAGTTCTTTGATGAGGACCTCCATAATGAGTCAAAGAACTATTGTGTATAGTCCACCATTTTAAGACGAGTCAACTTTTAGAATTTAGCCGACTCTTTAGAATTTTCATATGTATTTGTCGATAGATCTGATGTTTTGGAGCATCCAAAATATTTTCTAAAAAGAAATTAATCATTTTTTAAATTGATTAAAATGAATAGTGAGTCACATTGATTAGGACGACAAGAATAACATTTAGCGGTCACTAAGTATGAATTTAGGATGTTAATCTTTTGCTGTTAGTTAATGGAATTTTAAATATATCACGTCACTGTTTAAGGCCAAATGTTTTTTTAGCCTCTACATTATATATGCTATTTTTATAGCATTTAGAGGTCAATATAATGGGGAATTAGAAATTTATTTTTATAGCATTTAGAGGTCAATATAATTGGGAATTATAAATTTCTTAGCGTTATATGTTGTATTAGTTTATTAATTTTTTAAAATATTATTTAACAACTCTTTTTTGTTCAATTTCTTAGCATCATTAGCAATGTTCTGATAAATCATATTCTTAGCTTTTACGTGATTTATATTGCTTTTTACTAGAATTTAGAGGCTGCACAACATGATTTTAAGTTATTACGGATGATTTTACAAAATTTGGAGTATTTACAAAATATTTATAGGTAAATAAATAATTACGAAAAATTGAGAAAATATTAAATTTCTATTTCTTGACTTATAAACGTTAAAAAAAATTAGTATGAATTCTTTATGATCTATAAATATCATTCACTACTTAATTACGAAATGATCCTACAAAATTTGGAGTCAATTTTTTTTGAAATGTATATCTACAAAATATTTATTGGCTAATTTTCATGAAAAACTTATTAAAAAAATCATAGACTAATACACAAGAAAAAAACAAGATGATTCTATAGACTTATTTCGTGACTCATAAACTCCAAAAAAACTGAAACACTACGAATTTATGAATATTTTTTTATTAGATTCTTACGAATAAATTCATAAAATTTAAGTTCAAATTGAGTCGATCTAACATATTTCAAAAATTTCATAGACTAATTAACAAATAAAATATTGAGATAATTCTAAATTTTTATTTCATGATATATAAAAAAAATAATTCTTAACCCATAAAACTATGACAATCATTCACATATAACAAATATTTTTTTGTTAAAAATACACAAATTTCAAACCCAAAAATTCTTATTAATATTATTTACTATGCTCCAAAGTTAAAGTCACTATAGATCTCAAACCCAAAAGTTCTCATTAACATTATTTACTATTCTCCAAAGTTAAAGTCACTATATATATATATATATATATATATATATATATATATATATAATAATAATAATATATATATATAT